TATATATACCACCAGGTGAATTGATGAATAAAACCTAACAATTTTGTGTTATTAAGTTAGGCCTAGATCTAAAATTGTAAATGTATTATTGCAGCTGAATTGAAAGAATTGCTTTCGAGTCTTTCGTCAGACAATTTTTCTAGTTTTTATACGCCCACATTTTCATGTGGACGTATATTGTCGTCGCCCCTGTCCGTCCATCCACAATTGTTTGTGAACAGTCTACAGGTCACAATTTTTATCTGATTTCAATGAAACTTGAAATATAGGTTTATCACCCTAAGATCTCGGTTCCTTTCGATATTGGCATCTATCGGACCGTAACTTCATGGATTATGGCCCCTGATTGCACGAAAAATCACGTTTTTGGCTTGTGCACACTGTAGAGGTCACAATTTTTATCCGATTTTGTTAAAACTTGGTATGTAAGTTTATAACCCAAAGATCTCGGTTCCTTTCGATATTCGCGCATATCGGACCGTAACTTCCTGAATTATAGCCCCTGATTGTACGAAAAATCACGTTTTTAGCTTGTGGACCCTATAGAGGTCATAATTTTTATCCGATTTAAAAAACCGTATTGTTATATCAGCGTTATACCCTAAGGACGGTCGAGTTCAAATTTCGTGAAAATCGGCCCAAAACTGACAGACAAAATGGCCGCCCTTCGTTCTCAAATAGCGTAAAAATATGGTATATCAAGGTTGTGGACCCTATAAAGGTCACAATTTTTATCCGATTTTGTTGAAACTTGAAATGTAAGTTTATAACACAAAGATCTCGGTTCCTTTCTATATTCGCGCATATCGACCGTAACTTTATGAATTATGGCCCCTGATTGTACGCAAAAACACGTTTTTTGGCTTGTGGACCTTATAGAGGTCATAATTTTTATCCGATTTAAAAAAACGTGTTAATATATCACCGTTACACTCTAAGGACGGCTGAGTTCTAATTTCGTGAAAATCGGTCCAAAACTGACTGACAAAATGGCCGCCCTTCGTTCTCAAATAGCGTAAAAATATGGTATATCAAGGTTGTGGACCGTATAGAGGTTACAATTTTTATCCGATTTTGTTGAAACTTAAAATGTTAGTTTATAACACAAAGATCTCGGTTCCTTTCGATATTCGCGCACATCGGACCGTAACTACATGAATTATGGCCCCTTATTGTATGACAAATCGCGTTTTTAGCTTGTGGACCATATAGAGGTCATAATTTTTATCCGATTTAAAAAAACGTTTTATTATATCACCATTAAACCCTAATGACAGTTGAGTTTGAATTTCGTGAAAATCAGCCCCAATCTGACAGACAAAATGGCCGCCGTTCGTTCTCAAATAGCGTAAAAATATGGTATATCAAGGTTGTGGACCCTATAGAGGTCACAATTTTTATCTGATTTTGTTGAAACTTGAAATGTAAGTTTATAACCCAAAGATCTTGCTTCCCTTCGATATTCGCGCATATCGGACCGTAACTTCCTGAATTATAGCCCCTGATTGTACGAAAAATCACGTTTTTAGCTTGTGGACCCTATAGAGGTCATAATTTTTATCTGATTTAAAAAAACGTATTATTATATCATCACCGTTACACCCTAAGGACGACTGAGTTCGAATTTCGTGAAAATCGGCCCAAAACTGACAGACATAATGGCCTCCCCTCGTTCTCAAATAGCGTAAAAATATGGTATATCAAGGTTGTGGACCCTATAGAGGTCACAATTTTTATCTGATTTTGTTGAAACTTGAAATGTAAGTTTATAACTCAAAGATCTTGGTTCCTTTCGATATTTGCGCATATCGAATTATAATTTCCTGTATTATGGCCCTTGATTGTAGGAAAAATCACTTTCGTTCAGCTTGTTTTCTATCCATCTCTCGAAAATGTGGGCGTATACTGCCTGGCAGCCGCTGGTTTAAAATATGATAATCCTGAGATTTTTGAAGATTATTTAACCAATGGTTCTATTTTATTGCTACGGTATAAATTGAATAAAGGCCAACTATCCTTGAAAGAAATATTTCAAATGTTGACGTCCATTTCACCAAAACTTTATTTAAATTTGAAGAAATTAAATTCTGTTGTTAATAAAGTACACAGAATTAAAGAAACGGAAAGGTAGTACTGAAAGCAATGCGTATTTAAATCTTATGGCAATCTTGCCGCTTAAAAGCATTTCTAATGATGTAAGTCTAACGCAATCATGCTCAAATGAAGATATAAAAACGCCATTAGAACCAATGGTCAATACATTGCAAGAGAAATTAGATTTGATGTCAGTAGGTAACAAAAGTGAAGGTGTGCCAGGCAATCAGGATTATGATATTAAAATTAGTGAAACCAATACTTTACAAAAGAGGGTGGTAAGATTAGGAAAGATATGTAAGTTTCAGGGCAAAGCAATCAAGTCTATGAAGCGCACATCTTATTATACACGGCTCCAACGACGCGAACGTTATCTCAACACAAGGGAGGTCAATAACAGAAACCTCATTTTCAACCAGCGGGAGGAAATACGAAGGTTACGTTCAGATGCTGCTCTTGTACAGAATGAGCAGAATTCACAAAGAACGAAAAAAAAATTACTCCAAACACTTCTGTCGAAAAGACGACGCAAAGTAGACTCTTTGGAAAAAAGTCTTGAGGCCCTGGATGGGGAAATCGCAAGATTAAGGTCGAAAGTTTCGGAAAAAGATGCAGCTTGCGCGAATCTTCAGCAAACCATCGATATAATATCTGGTGATCGTGCAATCGATACTCGCGTTAATGAAAGTTCGGTGGGCAAGTTTAATGATGGAACTCGTCAGTGTTGTATGGAATTAGTAGGTCAACAACTTGGGATGAAGAAGATTCCACAAGTAATTAGCACTGTTTCAAAAAATATGTTTGATATTGACATTTCAAATTCTTCCCTTCCAAGTGCTACTACAATTAGCAATTTTGTATCCGAAGCACATTTTATAGCTAAGCGCCACGTTACGGAAACGCTGTTGAAAAGTAGCAAGTTTGATTTGCATTTTGGATTTTGAGGTCACCTTGGATAATTTTCAAACACTTACTTTGGGATTTATGGATATAGCTCGTGAAGACAGTAAAACAGTCGTTGACACAACCATTGTATTTTTTAATGATTTGGCCCAAACTATGATAGGAAACGAAGAAGTGTTTGAGAATTTGATTTCCCGGTTATCTTCGCTCGTTGGAGATCGTTTCGCGGTAGTTAAATTGGCACACGAAAAACTAAATGAATGGAGAAACGAATATTTTGATTCTGTAGCCCAAAAGAAAGACGACGGGTTACTTTACTTTTATTGTATGGCTCACTTTTTATTAGGTTTAAGTTCTCAGGCCGAAAAGGATATCAAAACATTTGAGAGCGAATTAGCTAGTAAAAGAGCGCGGTTCATTAGGAAGAGATGCGTTAGCTGAGTTCAAATTTTGGAGATGTTCAGAGAGTTGTGTTCTATTTCTAAGATTATTACGAACCTTATGTTCTGCATTGGGGCCACGTGGTGATGAAAAATCAGGATGTCACTCGTGATGGCTCAGCCACTTGAATCTTTCGGACAAAAAGTCTAAGATATTAGATTTAGATCTAATAGATTTAATTGTATATTCACCGGTGCTGCCGCAGCCCATTATCATAGAGCTGACATCATAGACTTCTTTGCTAATTGCTATGTGGGGAACAGCAATCAGCTGTTGTTGTCAGTTCTGGCCGATATTCGATCAATTCCTCTGTCTGCCGGACTTCGTGCCTTGGGCATTTTTAGCGTTGATGTGTCAACGCCTTTCTGGAGAATGATCCAGTCAAATTCAGTTCATGTTACTGATTTGCATAAATACATAAATCCACTTTGGGATTTTTTAAAGACAATGTCACAGGACGGCACAGCTTTATTGGACCGTGAATTGCCTCCGGTGTTTGTCGATTTTGAGCCAATAAAAGACGAAATATACGATTCATTATATAATGTAAGAGAGGATGAGCATGATAAATTAACAAAGGAATTTTTTGAAATAATTTGTTCAAGCAGTTTGGTAGTTACCGCTAGGCAGTTAGACGATTACCTTATTGGTGGTAAATATGGTCAAGAAAGACCGGACATATCCGAACGTACGAAACATACCCACAAAACAAATTTACTTGGAGAAAATTATTTTGGCGACTTTGATTTCTCAAAAAAGCAGAAACCCACCGCTACCACCCAACATCACAGCTCGGTAATAATGCTTAAACGGAATAAACCGTTTCATTGGCTCAATTCCCTTGACAGAGAATCGAAATCTTTGGTAATGAAAGACGCGCGGAAATATGGTCCGATTTTTAAACGACAGGCTCGTGGGTATGTTGCTGAGGTAAATACACAGAAGAAGACCGCTGTGCTTGAGAGCTACCAACTCGCACAAGCAAAAGAATTAAAAAATCTCAATGAAATTGCGCCTGTTGAAAAAAAATTAAGTATCTATCCTTCCTATAGGCGCAGGACGAACTTGGCAAATAGAGGATATTGAGAATATTGAACAACGATTTTCGGAGTATGCTCGTTTCTTTTTTTAAATTAAATTTATTTGTAAGAGCGGGGTGGGGTCTCATAGCAGGAGTATTATTCATGGTGTGCCCTGAGCCACATGGATGTAGGTTTCACTTAATAGCTTAATCAACTTAAGATGCATTCAAAAGTTAGGGCATAGTACGTTCGTGGTGCGCCTTGTGCCACACGGATATCAGGATATCAATAATGCGCTCTCTCTTTCAGACAAGACTTATTTAATTTTTGTATTTACTTTTTTTTTTTTATGATTGATGTGTTTATATTATCATTCTATTCTGATTACCTTTGAAATGGTTATTTATTTATTTATTTATTTTAAAAAAAAAATTTTCCAATTTAAAATTCGTTTCGTAATGTTCGACGGTTCTTTTTTTGTTAAAATAAAATGGCTTTGGCGGGCGAACTGGATTACGGCAGCCAATGAAATAACTCCATTTAAAATTGGTGGGCTTCTCTCGTCAGTATGCAGACTGCCGCCATTGGGTGAGTACTTGATTGAAATGATGGGAATGAAAATTAAAACGTAACTTTTATCCACAATGCATTTAATATATGAGTTGCTTCTATGGCACATCGGTTGTTTATGTAAGTGAAAGGGCAATGCTATTATTGATTTACAGGCCATGCTAGTTTCAGAGGGCTCTTACGGTTCGTCGTCATGTTAGATCTACATAAATATAATACTAATAGTTTAAATAGTTGTGATTTTCCGATTTCATTCATATTTATTTTTGTGGGCGGCTGATGACTAACGATTTTTTACTTAATTTACAGTTGCTGTAATCATAAAGGTAGAATCTGTTTTTTAAATTTCATGTAAGTAACACGTCTATCGTACTTAAACTCTGTAAATATTTATAATATTAATAATTTGCTTCACCCCTACGAGTACGACAAACAAATTGAACTGTTGGCGTTGCGTGGAAAATGATCGACCCACCAATATTAATTGTCAGGATACGGTTCTCAGCTCACGTGAGAATGTGTGTGTACACACAGGGCACTTTTAATATTTGGTTATATGAGTAGGAATGACGTTTCAACATTATTTCTTACCTTTTTTACGAATGAGAACGTATCGAGGTTAGACATGCTTTCACCGACGTCCGCGCTTGTAACCGACCGTTTATTAACCACCGTTATATTTATTTAAAAGGCCTACTTTGTTATTTTATGTTAATTAATAATATCGTTTTTGATTTATTTTAGGTTATAAGTATAAAGATCTTATTTGCTACAGGCCTAGAATTTAGTAATTACTGGTAATTTATAAATTATAGATTTTAGTATGGATGTTTATGTATTTGGACATTCTTTGGTCAGAAAATTGGAGACACATTTAGGAAATACAGTAAAAACGGAGAATGGGGAGGGTAAAATACATTTTGTATTTAGATCGGGAGGGACAGCTCCAAACTTGATGGGAATGGTAGATGAGATCCCCGCAAATGTACGTGTTGTCTTTTTGCAGACCGGGGTGTTGGATGGCTGAATGGTTAGCGTGCGCGCGCTGTATCATAATGTCAGTCATTGAGTCGACTGGCGTGGTTTCGAATCCCCGGTTGTACGTGGCAAGGAGTAGGGTCGCCTGTCCAACCTCGTGGGTTTTCTCCGGGTCCTCCGGTTTCCTCCCACTGCTAAAGACCCCTACGCGCAACTGAATTATGTAAATAAAATTAAAACCAAATGTTAGTCCCGAAATGACCTAGTTTGTGTCGAGTGGACGTTAAACCCCATTTCTCTCTCTCTCTTTTGCAGACCGGGGGCAACGATATTAACCCCCATCACCAACCTTTGCAAACCGCAACAAATATAATGAATTTGATACGAAGGGTTTCTTTTCGGTGTCCTGGGGCTGTACTATTTGTTGGGTCCATTTTTCCACGCTTCAAACCACGGGGAATGTCACGTAAGTTCTATAACGAGCGGAGGGTAATTATTAATAGAATCGTAGCCGATCAAATCAGTCAGTTGGCCCGGGTTAGGTTTTGGGATAATTGCAGAAAAGTGCGCTGTAGTAATTTAAAGAATTATGCTGATGATCAGGTACATGTGAATTCTCTTTTTTCAAAATCGGCCATGATGGTTTAAAAAATGGGTTTAAGGCGCCTACAGTAGGGTTCATTTAAAATATTTCTTGAAATATTTGTTTTATTTAATCCATGATATTTGTATAATTTAGGATTGGTGTCTCGTGTTATCCATGGTGTGCCTTGGGGGGCCATACTATATACCGGAAAACAACCGGAAAACACCATTTTATACTAAATACCGGAAAACACCGGAAAAACACTAAATACCGGAAAACACCCTAAATAGGTAACCCGGAGCCTGGTCCTCTGTGTGCGGTTTTGGACCAAGTGAGCGCCGATGAAGGAAGGTCAAGGTCATTACGATGTTCGTTTAACAAATACCCCCCCTCCCCCAAAAAAAAAAAAATTTCAGATTTTTTTTTCTCCAAAATTTTGTTGATGCCTATTATGTTTTGAATGTTTTAAAAGACGCAATCAGTCTAACTCCATCATTGACCATATTTTATTTTGTATTTTAATTTTAGTTTTCAGTAAATTTTAGTAGATTTCAGTATTTCAGTAGATTAAACACAGCCCTCTGAGGACCCCCGTTATATGCCGGTTGCGCCGGTCTCCTGATTCTTACCAGTAACGCTGGCATCAGGGTGGTACAAATTAGTGGAAGGCACGATTAGGCCAACTCCTCCCTAGGTAACAAAAAATCACATCATAAAACAGCAAGTATCATCAAAAGCGAGTTAATAAATCTCTGAATAGTTCGAGTTGAAGTTCCAGGTTTAACCGCTATGTGTCCTAATCACCAAACGAAATGGATGCCACGCAATTCTCGGACAGGCTGTAATCTGAAAAGTGTCTATCCTTTCCAAGAGCTATCCATCTCGTTGGAAGGGCTAAAAATCTACTTGTTTCTGAGCTTACTTTCATTCCAGGGTCAATATAATCACTTGAACCATAATAATATTCAACATATTCCATCATATTCCGAGGGCCGCACACAGGATTTTTTTCTGGATTACTTTTCGAGCTTTTTTCCCCAACTCGTTGACCAGTTTTCCTTGAGAAAACTCCAACTTTCGCCCAATTGTCCATGAGAAAACTACATATTCTATCTTACTGCATTGACGGCAAGTGGTAAGCTGGACGTCTTTGAAAAGGGTTGAAAAGGGTTGATCGATAAATTTTCAAGGAAGCAATTGTTGTTTTTGTTTGTGAAATAGAGGACTCTAGCCGATGAGGCTACTTTCCCCCCGAGAACCTCAGGCAACCAATTTGTTTTATGTACTTCTATCGTAATAAAACATTACTTTGTTAACCACTTCCTGGTGGCTGATCGAAGACTCACACCGAATGCGTATTCGGAAAAAAAATGTCCCCGAGAAAATGTTTTTTCCGACAATTCATATTCGAGATGTCTTCTGTTGCACAACTTATGCTGCACTGTGTAAGAACTTGCATCCTTTGATCTGAAGATTGTAGATGGAAAAGTATCATTTGCACTATTTCAAAGTAAACCTGCATTTTCATATATCATCCCGTAATTTGTGATTAATGACAATGACTGTGGAAATAATATGGCTTGAGGAACGGAAGATCTATGTTCGTCACGTGACTGGACAATTCCACCCCCCCGTCCCACCCTGACGATGATCCCTCACGGAGCGGCGCGGCACGCTCTCTAAAAAAAATCTCGGGCACAGTTTACTCTTCTAAGTTTTCCGGTAGCTATTTAGTAATGCGGATTTTGGTCCTCGTGTGTGGTTTTGGACCAGGTGAGCGCTGATGAAATAAGTTCATTAACATATAAGCGAGCGATCGCCTACGGTCAAAGAAAAATTTCTTTTCAGATTTTTTTCAACAATTTCTTCTCCCAAATTTCTCTCAAATAAAAATTCAAATTTTTTTTCCAGTATTTTTCTCTGTAAAATTATTTTCTACGGAATGTTTTTTTTGTAAAACCAATTTTTCGGAAAAATTTTGGAGAAAAAAAAATCAGATTTTTTTTTGGGGGGGGGGGGGGCTATTTGTAAAACGAACATCGTAATGACCTTGACCTTCCTTCATCGGGGCTCACTTGGTCCAAAACCGCACAGAGAGGACCAGGCTCCGGGTTACTTATTTAGGGTGTTTTCCGGTATTTAGGATGTTTTCCGGTATTTAGTGGTTTTCCGGTGTTTTCCGGTATTCAGTATAAAATGGTGTTTTCCGGTATTCAGTATAAAATGGTGTTTTCCGGTATATAGTATTGCCGTGCCTTGGGCCACATGGATGAAGAGAGGTTTTTTATTGTTTTTGTTTGTTTTTTTTTAATTGTTTTTTTTTTTAATTTTTTTAAAAGATGAGATACTATCTGCAACTGATAGATGTTTTTGATTTGAATGGGATATCTAGTTGGCAACCACCTTATATTCTATAGTCTTATTAAAGTAGGATGTTCTATGGTAATCATGTGGTTATTCAATGCCAATCAGAAAGTATTTTTATGCAGTTGAGGATACTATTTTATCTCCTTTGGAAGTGGAATGCTAGGTTACGGTTTCTGTATAATTCTTAGGGTTTAACCCACATGTGGACAGAATGATGTATGGTTGTCACTGGTGTCTGTTTTTAACTTCTTTTGGTACTTGTGTTTACATCTTAATTTTTTTTAGGCTTTTGAGGAATCGGGACTCCGGTGAACTAGCTATAGGAACGAGTACTTTGACATTTTTTTTTTTTAAAAACTGACTATTTTCTTTAACATAACATTATGCAAGAGCTAAATCTGCCAATTGCAGTTCTTTCTTTACACATTGAATTTTATATGAATTATTAATTAGACATTAATTAACTTAATGACATCGCTAGCATGCGATATTTACTAGATTAGAATCCGGGTGGCTGCTTCTGATTAAATAAAAAAATGGATAATCGAGACTATGTTTTTTATCGTACCAACATTAGTAATGGTGATTGAGGCTAGGCCCAAAATTCAATCGCTAAATACTCGGTTCAAGGTGAATCAATTTTCAGCAAATTCCCTTTACATTATCTAGTTTTTAACTATTATAGTCAGAACTACCAGCTCTTTATCTAATCTCCCATAATGTATCTTTAATATTGCATAAGTATAATACATCTACAACTTATTACTTTTTGCCAACCTTTTATTTTACACAACTTATTGTCTTCTCTTTTTTTTTTTAGTCTTGGTTCTAGCAGATGTATTGTATTATTATTTTTATAAACTTGCTGGGATTATTTGTGTGGTTAGTCATACATGTAAAACTGTATTTAAGAAAATATTTGAAGATGTGTGAATGTAGCTATTCCCATATGTTTTCATCATTATAATAAGTAATCAAAATCAAAATGTAACTTTTTTGGAGATGTACAGTTTGGAATACTTGATTAATGCGTTGTTGAATTTGATATATTTTGTGTAATGGTATCAGTACTTCGGTCATGTAATTTTTGGGGCTTGATAATATTTTATGGGAGAAAACTGTTTGGCCTGAATTAAGCAGAAACTGTATCATTGCTGTGGAATGGGTGTAGGGGAGCAGGGAGCCCATTTTTTTTTTTTTTTTTTTAGTTTCTGATGTGTTTTAGTTTCTGAATCTTGTGTTTGGCTGTTGTTTTTCACTGCTTATTTTTACTTCAATGTAAATGTTCTTTTTCTTACAATTTTATTTTATCTTAATATTGTGCAACCTAACCTAATTAGACTAGATAGGTAATTTAATACCATGTGTTTCTTCTTTTTAGTTTTCCATTTAAAATTTCTGCAATTTTGAGGTTGCGTAACTTTGAAGTAATGGATGAAGATTTTTGAAGTAGACGACATTTGGAGCTATGTAGTTGTTCGTTTCAGCTGCGATTGCAGATTATTTTTGTTGGGAGTGAAGTGTTTTTTCACAAATGAAATAATATAAACATTCTTCGCGTACTCAACACAGGACTATTCCTTGTATCTACAGTTATATAAATTGTTTAATTGAAAGAATTTGTTTGTTGTCGGTCAGAAATCTAACACCACTGAAACTATCAGTGATCATCTAAACAACTTGAAAGATGAAGAAGAGTTTTACATGTAATGTCGGCAGAAGTGCCCCAAAGGCCCAGTCAACATTAACAGGAGAAAGCGTGCTAATTTATATTCTAACCATCCTGGGAAACAGGAGTTGCGTCCCCCCTCCCCCCCCCCCCACACACATTGTTAATAACTACTAGGGTTGGAAAAGACAGTCAATTGAAATTCAAGATAGCATGTGATTAAGCTTACTCATCAACAGAAGGAAACGCTGATCCTGGGTCATGTTATCTCCTTTTCACCACCAATTGCGAATTTAATGCAAGTGTTGGAAAAGACAAATATCAAATTCCAACTGCCAAGGGATCTTTTACTTGCCTGCCAATGTATAAATGGGGCCTCTTTTTTTGACCCATCTGAACGACTAGACAGCTGTCCACTGACAAGGGGAAACCATGCCAGAAAATCTGGATGAACTTTCTCGGCCAATGCAGGGATCGAACACCCGGCCTCCACGCTAGCGAGCCAGCGTCTTAGCCTCGTGATCCCCCGCTTTTGTTAAAAACAAAAATGATAATGTTGTTGCCATGGCAACCACCTAAACTCCTTCATATTTTAGTCAAAATTGTACAATTTCCATCAATTGATATTACACTGGTGTTAAATATATGAACTGCTTTCTTTAAATTATTTTGACAACTTTATCATTGTCAACAACGTTGTTGAAAATGGTACAATATTGCATTTTTGGGGGGGGGGGGTTGTTTTGTTTTTTCCATTTTGGTTGCTATAACAACAATATATGAAATTATATACAAGGGTAAAGATATGTAATTTTAAAAAATCACAAACTTTTTGACCTGTACACAAAATTTCACTTGAAAATCTCAATTCCTTCACATTTTTATACGCCCACATTTTCATGTGGACGTATATTGTCGTCGCCCCTGTCCGTCCGGACGTCCGTCCACAATTGTTTGTGAACAGTCTACAGGTCACAATTTTTATCCGATTTCAATGAAACTTGAAATATAGCTAAGATCTCGGTTCCTTTCGATATTGGCATGTATCGGACGTAACTTCATGGATTATGGCCCCTGATTGTACGAAAAATCACGTTTTTGGCTTGTGAACACTGTAGAGGTCACAATTTTTATCCGATTTGGTTTAAACTTGTAATGTATGCTAATAACCCAAAGATCTCGGTTCCTTTCGATATTCGTGCATATCGAATCGTAACTTCTGAATTATGGCCCCTGATTGTACGAAAAATCGCGTTTTTAGCTTGTGGACCCTATAGCGGTCAAAATTCTTATCCGATTTGAAAATGTTTGAATATATCACAGTTACACCCTAAGGTTGGTTGAGTTAGAATTTCGTAAAAATCAAACCAAAACTGACAGACAAAATGGCCACGCCTCGTAGTCAAATAGCATTAAAATATGGTATATCAATGTTGTGGAGCCTCTAGAGGTCACAACTTTCTTTTGATTTTGATGAAACTTGAAATGTAAGTTTATATCCCAAAGATCTTGGTTCCTTTCGATAGGTTGTCAACTCACTATTCTCACACTTAAAAATCTTTACACCGGAAATAATAACACAATTACCTCCCTTGTTTTCCTATTCCCCACCACGGAATAGCTATCTTCAAACGTTTGAATTTGAAGTTGAAAATGATATTTTTGCCAATTTCTCAACTAGCAATGGTGAATTATAGGATTAATAGGATTATTCTTTAACATGTTAGGACTGTTTATAGATACCATCTATTTTAGGGCTTTATTTTAATACATTTTAATAATATAACCTAGAAATAAGAAAATGTAACTTTAAGCTTGAGGTCCCTCTAGAGGTCACAATTTTTATCTGATTTAAAAAAATGTGTGAATATATCACCATTACACACTAAGATCTTGGATCCTTTTGATAATCGCAGATACCCAAACTTAACTTCCTGGATTACGGCCCCTGATTGTTCGAAAAATCACATTTTTAGCTTGCAGATTCTCTAGAGGTCACAATTTTTTTTTCCAATTTTAAAAACCATTCCACCATAATGAACGTTGAATTTGAATTTCGGGAAAATCGAAATGAAACTGCCCAACAAAATGGACGCTCTTTGTACGCAAATTGTGTAAAACTATGCAATACGGAGGTTGTCGACCCTCTAGAGGCCACAATTTTTATCCGGTTCTGATGAAACTTAAAATATATCTTTATATCCCAAGATCGCAGTCCCTTTTGATATTTGCGCATTTCAGACCATAACTTTCTGGATTATTGCCCCTGATTGTCCAAAAAATCATGTTTGTTTTTAGCGTGTTCTCTATCCATCTCTTGCAAAATGTGGGCGTATCCTGTCTGGCAACCGCTGGTTCTTGTTTTCTCTTATCTAGTGACATTCAATTATTTTTTAAATTGTCAGATACCCTGTCACAGTTTCATATAACAACTTTTGGTCTTTGAAGGAATTATCAGTGAGCAGAAATTTGCCCGTGTATCTGTTAACCCGTTAAATGCGTAGGGCGTTATATTACGCCTGGTCAAGGAAATCTAATTGAAGGAAGACAACTCTATGATTAGTTTTAATAAGGTTTCAAACTACTATCATTTGTATTCAGGAATAAAAAGATCCAAAAATGACGTTTTTCTTCAAATTAATTACACAATAGGGGGTAGTTAACGTTTTAAAAACTACACACTTAACGGGTTAACGCTGGTTACTTGAGTCAGTTATCTTGAAGGATAACTCGTGTTTTCCTTTTGCTTTTGTCAATTCCATTTCTTCAAATCTTCATTATGTATCTATCGTAGCAATGATCTCAGAGTTAAAATCATTTGGTATGTGTTCAACCAGTTCTATCACAATATTGTCCTTTAAAGAGACATATATGGCACAACTATTGTATGGAGAACTCAAACTCTTAATAAATGTGGGTCAATCGTCCTAACAATTTTTGAAGAGCTTTTTTATAGGAGCAATTTTGAGTTTGATCAAATTTAGGAGTACTTTTTTTGGCTCCTCCAAGACACTTAAACATGCACGACTGATATGTTATGTAAAATTGAGTTTGGTAGAATATACATAAGATTCAGAATATCAAATAAAAGAAAACAAAACCCAGTTAATAAATTTTATACATACAATTTTGTTAACAATGTACATATATTTTTTACAGGAATCTGGCCATTAAGAGTAAACTCTCCTCAGTATGATAATATGTTAGTTCTATCATTTGTTGGACAGACCAGGTAAATATTTATTAAATCTACATAGGCGTATTTGCAGCAAACTAGAATGGACCAGCTACCATTTAGCTAAATTTGAAACTTAGCCAAAACAATGTGGATATAAAGCTTAAGTCTTTAAAACAGAATTTTACGAAGTCCATCAAAAAAAAAAAAAAAAAAAAATTAAATATAAATTCAACAATATTAAAAAGAAGAAAGTTACACCATGGGTAACCAAATATTTTCCCCATTAACCTAATTTACAGACTTTAGCGCAAGATACTTCTATTTTAGAGACTATCACCTGTATGTCTAAATTGTTCGATAAATCAAAAATCGTGATAACCCAGAAGAAGTGTAAGGCTATTGTTCAAATGATATAAGTGAATAGACTGAAAACACCTGAAGGTCTATAGTTGACAGTGATTTTTATTGAGAATGCAAACCATGTAATATATACTAGACATAAATGTAAACCATGTGCTACAGTTGAAACCACCACTCACATTACCAGTATAGACTTTTTATATTAAGACTAATTGGTTAAATTTCCATAGTTCTTATGTTATTGTCCCCTGGTTGATGCTTTGGGACACGATAACTTTAGTTCCAATTAAGTGAGAGTGATGAAACTTGGTGTATAGTTTCATTACATCAATACCTTGACTAAGTTTGATATTGAGCATTTTCTGCTCAGGGTAAGTAGAGCGATAAGCAATTTGATTGGCCGAGACTTTGGAACACAATAACTCTCCTTCTAATTGAGCTAGAATGTTCAAACTTGGTGTAGGTGTTTATGAGGTCAATGCCTTGATAGAATGGCGAAGATGAGTATTTTCTGCTTATGGTAAGTAGAGATAAGCAATTTGATTGGTTGATGCTTTCTGCTCAGGGTAAGGAGAGCGATAAGCAATTTGATTGGCCGAGACTTTGGAACACAATAACTCTCCTTCTAATTGAGCTAGAATGTTCAAACTTGGTGTAGGTGTTTATGAGGTCAATGCCTTGATAGAGTGGCGAAGATGAGCATTTTCTGCTTATGGTAAGTAGAGATAAGCAATTTGATTGGTTGATGCTTTGGGACACAATAACTTTAGTTCTAATTACGTGAGAGTGATGAAACTTGGTGTATAGTTTCATTACATCAATACCTTGACTAAGTTCGATGATGAGAATTGTCTGCTTAGGCTAAGGAGCAATAAGCATTTTGATTGGTCAAGACTTTGGAACATAACAACTCTGCTTCTAATTGAGGTAGAATGTTTAAACTTGATGTAGATGTTCGTCTTGACTGAGTTCAATGATTAACATATCGAGCTAAAGCTAAGCAGAGATAAGCAATTTCCTTGGTCGATGCTTTGGAACAATATAACTTTGATTCTTTCTGATAGAGAGTGATGAAACTTAGTGTATATTTGATAATCAGTTTGATTGCTCGATACTCTTGAAATAAATAGACGTGCGATTAATTAATATGTCATCTATTTATTTGGGGATTTCGGCGGGGGACATCAGCCTCACTGTTGGCTTGTTATATCACCGTTACACCCTAAGGACGGCTGAGTTCGAATTTCGTGAAAATCGGCTTAAAACTGACAGACAAATGGCCGCCCTTCATTCTCAAATAGCGTAAAAATGTGGTATATCAAGGTTGTGGACCCTATAGACGTCATAATTTTTATCCGATTTTGTTGAAACTTGAAATGTGAGTTTAAAACCCAAAGATCTCGGTTCCTTTCGATATTCGT